ACTTAACTGTGAATCCAACTGTGAAGGGGTGGGGGGGGGGCAACAGGGGTGGTCGATCAGTTCCCTGAGCCAGGTGAGCGGGGGCAGTGGTGGGTGGTATCCCTTCTGACCCGACTCCTACCACAGCCGACTAAGACGTTGGGAGCTTATGAGTTTCTCCTGTCACCTCTGACAGGCTCTCATTTGCTTTCATTCAGCATCTCATCACAGCTTCAAAAAAAGTGGCTCATCCACCCCCAGGGGTGGGGAAAGTGGGGGGAGCAAAAAAGATCAGCGTGCCCTCCAAAAATGAATGGTATCCAAAGATTTTTGACCCGGGGGGCAATTTCTGCTCCTCATAATTGGCTTCTTCATTCTGTCTGTCTTGGGCAATCAGTGCAGAGTTATGACGCATTATGCTGCCTGGAAAACATCATTAAGTATATTATGTAGAAGTGATTTAGTAACATATCATTTTCTCTAGGTGAGCAAAACAGTAATACTGAGGAGTGCAGTTTTTTTGTAGCCTCCAGTAATTTGCTTTCTTCTTCCACCCAATAAAGACTCTGCTGCTGTTGTATAACCAGAATCCAGAGACTGATCTGGCACGAAATTTTTGTTTTGTTAAAAAAACGATAATAATAAAGGTTAGTCTGACAGAGACAAACAGCATTCTTTGGTGAACCAGACACACGCAATGCTGATGTCAAATCTTTATTTGAAAATTCTGTTTTAAAGTGTGAACGTGGTGCAACGACGTGGGACACGTCGGTCAGTCAGAGGAGTGGGATCCAGCTCCAACACCTGGCGTCTGGAATCCAGTTTGTGCCCGGTGGTGCACAGGTGTGGAGGAAAACCAGTAAAGCTCATCTCATCCTTTCCTCAGGGCTGAAGCATGAAGGACAGACAGGGAGAACCCCATGACCTAAACGCAGCTCTATAGAAGAAGTCTGAGCTGGGAGGGGGTACGTTTTCCTCTTTTTTTTTTTTCATCTCTGAGCAAGTGAGCAGTGTGTATGTCCAACAGCTGCCCTGGGGACATGTTATGACAACCAAAACTGGTGAGAAGTAAGAGCAAGAAGTGACATGAACAGATTTCAGGGTTTCTGACACGAGAGGCTGGGTGAAAAGGACCTCTGCTGAGAAGTGTCTAGCCTGGAGATACAACCATCAGCTCATGTACCATCAGGCCGCCGCGGGAAACTGTCTGGGCCAACCTCTGATTGCTGCGTTGAGTGAAGAAAACAAATACAGCTACCGGTGGTAAACAGGAGCCTGAGACAGCTCAGGAAAATAACTGTGTTCACATAGTGAGCCTGTTTCTTTTTATTCTTTATCTTCTGTGCATTGTGCTATTTAAACCAAGCGTCAAATTGTTCAAATAATTCAAATTTAGGGCTATGACTTTTGTTTTTTTGGAACTTTTACGCTTTTTTAATTTTATTAAAAGATGCTTGCATTTATTTAACTGTTGCGTCAATGTTTTTTTTCCCCTCCCTAACCTGCAGACACCACAATGATYGAAGTTTAGTATAAAAGTGATTGATATGTGGTTTTGCTAACGTGCCAGGCAGCACCTCAGGACAAATTTTCTCACATTTAATCACCAAGGAGCTATTGTGAAATGTTGAAATCTTGTTCTGGGAAATCCAATCACGCCACCTTTACCATATATTCTGTGTCAGAGTAATTTGGTGACTAGAAAAATCAAACAACAAAGTTTGATTTAATTTGCTTGGGTGCCTCAGTCTCCTGGCGAGACGGAGGCCACTTGATGAACAACAGATACATTCAGACATGTCTGTCTGTCTGTGAGGATGGGAAAAAAATAGCCAAAATAGACTCAAGTGAGAAAAAGAGCTGACAAAATCTACCCTCAGGACAGGCTTCTCAGAGTCTTTCCTGTCACATGTCTACATGTCAACAGATTATGCGTTTGCTCTTGTGGGTCAAAAGAATTTCTGACAGCTACTACTTTTAAGAGACTATAAAGTGCAATGGAAAATGTAGAGTATGATCCTAGATTCAGATCTGGGATGTTTAAAATCAAATAATCAAAAATACAAAATCAAAATAGAGGAATTTATTTAGTGTCACAGTGTAACTGTTTGGTCTAGATAATAATCTGTGATCATAAAACCAAAGAAAATGCTTGTCAGGTCGTAATTAATACCATGATTTGTGCTGAGGTCAAAGTTTGCCTTTTACTCTTCCACATAAATAAAAGTATAAAGGTCTAAAAGCCTTTTGTGTGACTACAAAGATCGTTGATGTACAACCTGCTGCACAACAACAAATAAGACAGAACTAAATGCTGCTGAATYTTGTTGAAAAAATGTAATGGGAAATTTCAAGACGTTTAGTGCATAAACTGGCAAAGAAATAGTCTGTAGAGAAGCAAATGATAAGCCTTTTGGTAAAATTACATCTAAAAATTCTACAATTTGAGGAGGAGTGAGCGCTCTTCTTTTTTATACTTCTTATTTATTCTCGCGAGATTTCGTGCAGCTCCCGTAGATCATTTCCGTACACAAAAGCTCTGCTGATGACGTGTACGCTCCCTCACTAGCAGGTTAGCTTAGCCACCTGTCAAATTAGAGGTGTAATAATTATAGTAGAGTGGTGAAAGTAAAGGGACATAAAGCGTTTTATTCCATTGAATAAAAAAATGGAGACGCTTTACCACCAGACAAACAAGTAAGTGTGGCTATTTCTCTAGAAATTGCAGACTTTTGTTAGCAACGTTAGCTCATAACTACTAAAACAAGCTAATTGTTAAAGYGTAACTATGCCAACACTCATTGACTCATTTATCCTACTTGTCGTTAATATGCGCAAATAAGTAACAAAAAATAACTATTTGAGTAATGCGTTTAATTTCTGTTCGGTTATGTTTATACTGAATTATAGACATATCCAGGAGGTGCAATCTCAGATGGGGAACCTGGAGAGGACAGACCGTCAGTCAGTTCACTGTGAGTACATAATATCATCTGTTATATTATGAGGCTTAATATTATATCTGTGTTTGGCTGTTTTTAGACACAGCTGTGTTGGTTCTAACGCCACCTCCTGTCTACTTTCTCATAAATGTGGAGCTCATTTCCACTCAGTTCTTGTTTTGGCAGTTTGTTACTTTTTCGGATGTGCTGACAGGAGGAGGCGGGGTGCTGATGCCTCTCTGGCTGGTTATTTTCTGTGGATGGTGCCTAACTGGATCAGCTCAGGGCTGAGACAGGAAGCAATAGGGTGGGAGCCAGTCAACCCCCCTCCTCTGTTTTTTTCACAAACTATGACATCACCTTGTGTTTTCATCAAAAGGAGGATGTAAAGCCCATAGAGTAATTAATGAAGGTCATTACACTGATAAATACCCCACATGAAAACTTTTTATAGACTGGATTCAAATAGGTTTACTACTTCCAACTGCCTAATGGCCATGTTTTATATTTGTTGGTTGGAACTTTGGTTTATTAATTTAAGCTTATACTGATTCTAAATGCATCTATTAAGCTGTTGTTTTCTTTGCCTCTAACATTTTCCTTTCTTTTTTTTTCCCCAATTACCAGTGTTAGAGAATGAACTCCAGGCTAGGATCGACCAGATTTTCAGTAGTCTAGAACGCCTTGAGATCCTTGCCGGCAAAGAACCACCAAACCGCCGCCAGAACGCCAAATTGTGAGTTTGGAGTGAGTCATTTGGCAGTGTCCATAAACCTCCCTAGCTGACAGGGTGAGCCGTATTTCATAAAGACACGGGGAGGGTGCAGAAGACAAAGCATGCAGCCTTCTCCTGCCCTGTGGCAATGTAGCTCAATGAAAACATTTCCTCAGAAGCCCCCATCATCACTAACATTACTTCTGCGTCGGGCAGAGATTCATCTCTGACTTGGGTAAACAGGCCTTAGGGGACACAGTTCACCCTATCCCAAAGCTTTCCTGTGATCCTGGCAGGTCTCTTGGAAGGCCAGAGTGAAGCTAAAGACGGGGCTCGTCATTCCAGCTGCATGAGACTTAAGATAAAAAAAATGCTTTTAACCTATACATAAAAAAAAAACACCTGAATTGTTTTAAGATGAGACACAATAAGCAAATTTACACACTATATTACTAAAGTAAAACATTTATCTTTTTAAAATAGTGCAGAAGCCAGTTTAATTCTTTTTGTTGTGTTACTGTCAAAGCATAAATGCATGTATTTAATATTTTTAAAGGAATTTACTGACAGTGATAGCATTTATTTTTAAAAGTAGCACCAACCCTGTTAAAAAAACAGAAAAATAAATGAAATGCATCTTAAGTTATATATTTTCACAATGGACATTTGCCAGACTTGATATATTACAATGACTTAAATTTAAGTGTGTAATATCCCCTACCTGACCTGTTAATACACTAATAACTTTCTTCATCTTTATAAATGACTTTAAGAACTTGTTTTATACTTTTGAGGTCAGTTTTTATGGAAACGGACTTTGTTGACATCTAGTGTTTTGTGAAAAGATGAATGATTTTTTTRCCTCTCTGTTAGACGAGTGGACCAACTCAAGTATGATGTTCAACACCTGAGATCAGCTCTTCAAAACTTCCAGCACCGACGCTACGCTAGAGAAGCCCAAGACAGAGAAAGGGAGGAACTCCTGAGCCGCACCTTCACAACAAARGTCAGTCCATTAAAGAATTGTTTATTTTTTTTAATGTGTCCAGCTCTGGCTATAGACAGTAAAATTGACCCAATTTTTCTAAATGATCTAAAAATCAAGGGCACCTGTAAACAAAGTGTGTTTAGTCGATTAGTATGCAAGCTGAATGTTGTGGAATAAAAATAATGGTCTTATTCAACAGGATGCAGATACATCCATCCCTATAGACGAGACCTTACAGTTTAACACCAACTTGCACAACGCACACAGAGGCATGGATGACCTCCTGGGCAGCGGCACGAGCATCCTCAACGGCCTCAGAGATCAAAGGTCTACACTCAAGGTGTGTGTAATTGTTCTGAGACAAGCAACAGGTTTTTAAGTTTATACAGTTCTTTTATTAGCAAAGTGTGATTTATAGTTAAATTTGAGACCAAAAAAAAGTTGATCATGAGCCCATTTCATCTCCTGGCCAAGTTTCTGGTGTTCACATTGTCCACAATTGTCTGATTGTTCCTGAGCCTTTTCAAAGTGGGTGGGTGAGTCCTTGTTTCCAGGGAGGAGATGGGCTTCCTGGTTTGGCTTCAGGCCTCTTCTTATCAGGGTGTGACTGCCGATCGGCCCTCACAGCCCTGCGGTCCCGTCATGAGAAACTTCTGACAGAGTGGCGCGTCAGGGAGGGTCCCGACTCTCTCCCAAAAATCAAACGAATGAGTGCAGATGGTGAACAAAGTTTTGTGCGTTTACGGCTGCAGGCAGTCATGTGTTTTACTGTCATTCGGCTCCACAGGGGACACATAAGAAGATGCTGGATGTGGCCAACATGTTGGGCCTCTCTAACACGGTGATGCGGCTCATCGAAAGACGAGCCACCCAGGACAAGTTCATCATGATTGGAGGGATGTTGRTGACCTGCATCTTTATGTTCCTGGTCATCAGATACCTGGGCTGACAATCATCCACTCATCTCGAACTGACCAGTCAGACATTTCATCAGTGCGTCATCCCACGTGATATGAATTTTAACTTTAAAGTAACTTTTATAAATGGTGCCATTTATAGTTTCCTTCCTTTTTTAGTAAATGGATTACCACCATTTTACTTTCATTGCTAAATGGTAATGGAAGATCCTACTTACAGACAGTATTTTTACTGCACTTGAAGTTGAGTGCAGCTTTTCTGTTGATAGATTTACTGCCAGACATCCACTCTTCATAAAAAACCACTGTAAATACTGTAAACCATTCTCGTGACCTCGTTTTTTCTTACAGTGGAAAAGGAAATTGTTCTGTTTCTCGGTTCATCATTAATCTTACAGGAATACAAATGTGAAAATACTCAGAATCCTCCATGTGCCACTTGTAATTGAACAAAAAAAAAAACACATGAAATCCTTTTTGTTTCCTGTTAGATGTAAAAAGGTGGGTTGCTCATTATATACAACTGGCTAACATTAATGGTCTAACAGCACAATTAAATGTGGTGAAAAAAAAATTACAGCTCATAAACCAAACACTTTGGTATTAAAAAAAAAGTTTTTTGCTGTTTTGTTAAACAATGAATCGAACATTCTGAATAAACAGTCTTCTGTATTTCATTACCTAATGTAGTGGTGACCAATAACCTGCATGTTTTAGATGTTTTTCCTCCAATGTGATTCAACGGCTTAAATAGCTCCTCTTCATATCAAGTTCAGCAGGATGGTGGCCCTCAAGGACCAGGTTTYGTCACAACTCATCAAATGGTATATTAGAAGACATTTTTATTCCAAGGAGCTTTAATTGTATTTTTTTTTTTTAACAAATCCAGCCAATAGGTTTTAAACAGGTATTCAGAGCAACTACAGCACCATCTACTGGTTGTCAAAGCTGATGTCTGAATCCCACTTTGTCATGAAACACCAAGTGGGGGTCTCTAAATAGACATTTTTTTAAGTGATTGCATATGGCCTTTTTCGCCATAATTGTTACAAATATTTAAAACTACAGTCAAACTATAAAAGTAGGACTGTTTTGTCATTAACTCCTTGGTTAATAAGATTATTAGCAATGTTTGCATATTTAAACAGAGTAGTTGCAGTTACAAGCCTTTGGTAACTGTGGGTTGAAAATCAAAGATTAACCATGTTTATGAGAATGAGAAAAGCTTTACACATTTGGAAAAAAAAACAATACACATGGAGTCAAGATTTTATTTGCTGAAACGTAGTTATGTTTTTTAAAAAATACAGTCGCTACCTTTTTGACAGATTTTTTGCCATCCCGGTCGGACTTAGCGAAGGATGATTTAGAACCAACCTTGACAAAACACGTACGCCCAACTTCTATCCATCTTCACTGTTTCTCAGTAGCACTGTCAACCTTTAAGAACGTTAAAAGGTTAATCTACAGCATTTTTATTTACAAAATTACACAAAAGCCAAACGCAGCCCTTCTTTCCGAAGAGCTTTTGGAAAATAATTTAAAACAAAAATACAATTATTGCAGTATACTACAATCTTATTGTTACATGACGCAAAAGCATCATTCCGATGTACATATTTCAGTGCAATTCATTCACATGTAACCTTAAACAGGGAGGAGCTCCACCTTAACGAGTATTAGGGATGTTAAAATCCCTACAACACATTTCCCCTGCTTTAGAGACTTTCTAATAAGATGTCATGCCATTTCGGACAACAGCGCTGTCGTTTCATGTAATTGATTTCCACATTACACACCGATGTATGAACAAGTTACATCAATTATTTTGAGACTAAGAATCAAAAAGGGGAACCGGTTGTCAGATGGGAACATGGACTGAATTAATAACTGTACCAGTTATTAATTCAGCACAACGCACACAGCCGAATTTGTTCATTTCTGCAACAAAACCACTTAGTCCACATATTTCTGCTTATTGACACACTTACTATGGGTCTCTGTATATGTCAAAATTTGATAAAGTTGTGGAAAAAAGTAAAAAATAAAAATTATAAAATGAATCTCCAGTAATTTATCAAGTTATCAATGAACTGTAAATTGAAATAGTCAATTCCAAGAGAAAGTCTGTACATCTACACCCAGTATTCAAAATTATAGGAAGAGTGGGTGGTGGGTGTGGGGGACTAACCAAGCTACATGAACCAGAAGAAAATTCTAGTGTTTTAAACCCAAAGAAGGTCCACCACTTTCTGACCACAAACTGCATGTGTGGGTGTTTCTTCTTACAAACTTCATATTCAACTGCCTTCATGATGCTGCAAATCTTTAAACCAAGACAGTTCCCTTCTTTATTCAGTGTCTGAATGCTTTAAATATCAAAATTCGCTTCTATCATCACTCAAGAGCCATGGTTAGGTGGGTGCTGAAGGTCCTGTCCTGAGAAAATTGGATGCAGGAGCGGGTGAAGTTGAAGGGCTGCAGCGGCGGCAGCCTGGGAGGGGCGGGGTGCAAACAGTGTGGGATACAGAGCTGTGTGTGGGACGTGGTGGAGAGCTAATGGTGTGTGGTGAAGGGCAGAAGCAGGGATGATATGAATGGGCTGACCAGACAGGAAGGCTGTTGGGTGAGCGGGAATCAGTCCTGCATGGCCCAGCGAGTGTCCCAAAGAGTGACTAAGTGAGGGGGCCAAAGGCGACAGGGAGATGGGGGTAAGGTGGTGCTGGGGGATGTGATGAACTTGGGCCAACTGGGCGTGTGCAGGGTGAGGGTGGTGGGGATGTGCTGGGTGGATACCCATCGCTGCAGCCGTAGCTGCGTGATGCTGCAGGATGGCGTGCTGCACAGTGGTGATCGATGTGCCTGAAGCGACAGAGACGGTCGGCTGCTGGATGTGGATCTGCTGCAGGGCTGGTGGAGGGGGGGCCGGGGCCAAGTTGGCCGCTGCTGCAGCAGCGGCTGCAGCCGCAGCAGCTGAAGGAAATGCCTTGACCTGCTTGGCCAAAAGCTGCTGCTGAATGTGCTGCTGTGCAGCCTGTTGCAGCTTGCTGTATTTCTCCATCTCCTCTGGTGTGAAGGTGATGGGCTGACTTTCTAAAGGAGCCAGCCCATCCTCCTCTGCCTCAATACCATCCTCCTCCAGATTGGGGGGTGGGTAAGTAGGATATGCGTGTACTTGGGGCTGCTGCTGCATTTCAGGCATGAGGGACTCCATCATGGGGTTGTGGGAGGGATCCTGCCCTGGTTCTCCCTGGTACTGGGGCATCATCATGGACGGCTCCTGTTCAAACATCGGTTGGGGGTCCAGGTGTACCTGTTCTTCTGCAGTGGCGTGCTGCYGAGTCTCTTCCTGCACTGCTGTTGTCTGAGGAGCCTCCTCAACCCTCTGGACAGGCGGGGCTGGTGGAGGTGGCGGAGGAGGGAACTCCCGTATGGGCTCAACAAGGATAACCTCTCCATCTGCATCAGAACCCTTTCCTGCTCCTGATTTCTCACCCTCGTCGGGTCTTGTCAGAGGAAACAGTGGTTTCTTTCCTGCCTGCAGTTTACCAAAAAGTGGCAACATGGCTTTGCTTCCCAGGGTCGGGGGTAGTTTAGGACCAAAATAGCCCTGTGGTGGGTCCTTAATCTTAATCCCAGATTTTGTTCCTGTGGCAGAATCCTCTGAACTCTTTTTGGACTGAACCTTCTCCAGCAGCTGGCGTGCGGTGAGCGTGTTCTTCTGTTCCCCTGCGTCACGGGACCCCCCTGGCCTCAGAGCCTGAGAGCTGGATGAGTGGGCGCTGCGGTTAAGGCCTCGTAATGATGAGCGCGGGGACTGGGAGCGGTAGATGCGCGAGCGGTTGAAGTCTCTGCGGTGCGTGTCGCCGTCCCCCCGACCCCGGGGGTTTCGTCTGTGGGGGGAGCCTTTGTTCGAACTGGACGAGCGGCTGCCCGAGCTCCGGCTTCGGCTGTAGCTCCGCCTCCAGGATCGACTAGTGCTGTGGCTCCAGCTGCTGGAACTTCTCGAGCTGCTGCGGTGGCGCCGCCGATGCCTCTTCCTCCGGCTGTAGCTGCGCGATCGTGAGCGGGAGTCTTCGGAGGAGGACGAGGTGTACTGGTGTCTTCTGGATCGCCGACGTCCTCGACTGCCCCTGCGCTCGTACTCGGAGTCTGACGAACGCTTGGAGCGCCGTCGCCTGCGGCCCTCCGTGCTGTAGTCGCTGTAGCTGTCCGAGTAGCTGCGGCTGCGGCGGCTGTAGGCGCTGCTTCCCGCCGAGGAGRGCTCCGAGCTGCTGGAATACGAGCGACTGCCAGAAGTTTGGCCGCGATGGTGCCGACGACTGCTCCCTCGTCTCTCTCCCCGCCTGGAGGAGCGGCTGCAGGACCGGCGCGACTCGTCGCTGCGGTGGCGCCGCTGTTCTCGAGGGCTGGACTTGTGATGGCGTGAGTGCTGGTTGTTGGAGCTGCCTTCTTCACTGTCGCTGCTGGGAGGTCTACCGTGTCCAGGACTCTTCTGAGCAGAGGTGGAGCAGGAGGCACTTTGGGACGTGCTGGAGTCAGTTTTTTGTTTCTTGTTACTGCCGTGCTCTTCAGAGGGGTTGGCCTTGGTGTTGCTTTTCCCGTTCCCCCCTTGCTCGGCTCCAGACTTGGAAGGCACTTCCTTTGCTGCACGTTTCCTCTTGCCCGGTTCTGCTCCTGCTCCTGCAGCTGCTGCTCCCCCTCCAGCTGCTGTCTGAACTGAGGGGCCAACAGCTTTATCTTCTGGCTTTGGCTTAACCTTTTCCTTTTCATCACCAGCTGCCTCGTCTTGATTTTGAACCTTGTTTTTGCTCTTCTTCCGTTTGTGTTTCTTTTTCTTTTTGGGTTTTTCCTGCGCGGCCTCTGTCGCTTCCCCTGCAGCTTCTGCTGCAGTTTTTTCTTTCTCTTTGTGCTTCGAATGCTTTCCAGACTTCTTGTGTTTCTTCTTTTTCTTTTTCTTCTTTGCACCGCTGCCAGCGGTTGAAGGTTTTTGCTCAGCACCTTCGGATTTGCCGGGCTCTACCTTTACTTCGCTCTTGTCTTTGTCGGTGCTCGTTTCAGGTTCAGGTGCTGCTTCTGCTTCAGCTGTTGAAGCTTCCACCTTTTGGCCCTTGTCATCAAGATTTTCTGAAACCTTGGGGGATTTTGCGGCTTTCGCACCATGAAGTCTTCTGTTTTTAGACAGCTTAAAGTCAAAGTACAGAGGATTACAACTGTAAGACAGGGAGGGTTGAGCTTTTGTAAATTCCAGAAGCTCCGTGGGCCACTGTAGGGTCGTACTTTCATCTTTACTCAAAACTGGAAAGAAGGGTCCGGTAGGGATCTTCGGACCGGTGTTTGAATCTGATGCATCCTGAGTGTTGTCTGCTTTGTGAGTAGGAGACGTGGGTACAGTGGAAGCTGTGTCTACTCCACTAGAAGACACGTTTTCTTCTGGCTTCACTTTAGGTGACAGAGGAGCCGGCTCTGGCTCAGGAGCTAATGTCTCATCCACTTGTTCTTTTTCAGTTTTACACTCGGCAGCTTTAGACTCTGTCTGATCAGAACTTTCTTCGGCCTCTTTTTCTTCCTGCACTTCTTCCTCTTCATCATCTTCTTTGCCCGGACACTGTTCAGTCGCCTTCATGAAGAGCAAAAACTGGAAGTGGGGCTTGACCCGACAGTGAGCTGGAGGTATGTAATGATAGTACTGAGGCTCCCTTCCTGTAAACCCTTCCTCTTTCTTCATCATCATCTTCAGTTTGTTGAGAGTGGAGGCTAATGAGCCACCATCGTCAGGCTGCTGTGCCTCTTCTGTTTCGGCTGCGCCACCTTTCTCTCCTCCTTCACCGACTTCGGGTACTCCCTTAGGACTATCTGTGCTGCAGCCTGGTGCCTCCTCTTGTCCTGCAGCTTTTTCTCCCTCCTGGTTCTCGTCCTCCTCCACTGCCTCCTCACCATGATCAGCAAACACAGCAGCTGCCGTCTCCAACTTTACAGGGGCTTTCTTGGCAAAAGAGAATGAGACGCTGACTTTGGATCCACTGCTGGGAGTTGGAGACGAGGAGGTGGTTTTTCCTAGAGAAAAGTTAATAGTTGGACCGGGCTTTGGAGAAGACTGCTCAGCTTTCTCTGCAGGTGAGCTCTCTAAGGTAGCGTCTGCCAAAGTGGGGTTCTCAAAGGTCGTGCTGTCACAATCTTCAGCTTTTTCTCCATCAACAGCAACTGTGGTTGTTTTGAACATGGGTCCACTCCCAGGAGTTCTAAAGCACAGGAGAAAGATACTAATGTGATATTGAAAATGACACAGATACCAGTAATAAAAGAGGTACTTGTGGTAATGAAATAGGTCACAAAATTGAAATATTTAAATAGACAAATAGGAAAAAAATGTAACACTAAGGATCTAAGAGTTTACCTTTGGTAAAAGAAAAATGGCACAATGATTATTAAAAACTGCAACTGCAGTTTCCAGTCCAGCCAGCAGAGGGCTATCCAGGGTTGGATTCTTACCGGTTTTGTTTGTCTTGTTTCCTCTGCTCAGCCAGCTCGTGCAGTCGTCGCAACATCTTTTCTTGCTTCTTTCCATCTTTCCGAGAACGGGACGACACGTTACGAGCAAACTCTCTCTGCTTCAGTTCTTTCAATCTCTGCAAAACAAAAAAGCAACCGGGGGGATGTTAGGATCTGCAAGATTTTTTTCTCAACGCATTGAAAATAAAAACAGATTTGTATTAATAGTCTCTTTCACACATGTACCTTTTTCCATTAATCCAGCACTGTACTTTCACTCACTGACAAATTATACATAAATAGGGCATGAAAAGCATCAATGTATTTAAAAAGTTTTGCAGTTTTGTTGCAGCATTGGTTACATATTTCATGTGTGAAAAGGGCTTGAAGAACTTGACAAAGAACTCATACCTGCTTGTGAGCATGGTCATAAGAGTTTATGTGATTGTCAAACTCCTGGTGTTTAGTGTACTGCTTGTCACAGAGTTCACAGTAGAAATTTGCTCTTAGGTCTTCCAGAGCCTTCGCAATGGCTTTCTCCTTCTCCACCTGGTCCTATTAATAGTGACATTTATAAGGAAGAATGATTAAGTCTTCTACTTTCAGATATGTTTAGTACAACACGTATACCAGTCCTGAAGAATCTCACTTTGTATTTTTGCCGCAGCTCTTCTGTATCCTCCTTTTCAACTTCGAGCACTCTCCTCTTCTCTGTGGCATCCTCTGCATAATCCAACTAAAAAGGACAAACACAGCAGTTCTAGCATTGCAGAAAACAAAACAGTTTGTGAGTCAACATCAGCAGTTCACGTCATCTTATATGCCTCTTTAAATTTTGATTTGGAAGCATGGTGCTTAGACAAGCCATCTACAGGTCTAAAAGATGGAGGCTATGGAAATAGCAAATAAAAATATGTACAAATTGACTGGTAATGTGTATTTTTAGACCTACTTTCTCTTCTATTTCTGTTGTTCTGCAGTGAGGGACACATAACTTATTCACTGAGCAGAACTGCTATGCAGARAAAATAAAGGTCCAACATAACTCAAGGTAAGAATTAATATTTTTAAAGGGATCCATGATTAGTTGTAACATTAGACTTTATTTAATAAACATATATTTTAACTGTAATGTAAAGACTGTAAAAATACTGTAGGCTGTTTAGTTTTTATAATTTTTAAACTAAAAGTTTAAAAATATATTACACGGACGGAGCCATTTTATTTACACGGAAAGCATTCTGGGTAAATGATGACGTGGATAGGTCCTCMGTGTGAGCGAGCTATATCCACCCTGAAGGTTAATGTTGGACAATATCTGACGATTGATTCTTTTAAATGAAATCAGAGAGCGTTGACAGAGAGGAGAAGGTAGAAATGACTCAGCCTGTAACTGAAAATGTGGATGGAGGACCTCAGTTTAGCTTGTTAGTTTGTCACACTAGCGCCAAGCTAATACAAATAAGGCAATATAGCGTCAGCGCTAGCACGAAGGCTAACGGGCTAAGCTGAGGTTCTTCTTCCATGAAGCAGCTCTGTTGTCCTCCATCTATATTTTCAGTTACAGGCTGAGTCATTTCTACCTTCTCCTCTCTGTCAACGCTCTCTGGTTTCATTTAAAAGATTTGATCATCAGATATATTTCCAAGATTAACCTTCAGGGTGGATATAGCTCACTCACACAGAGGACCTATCCACGTCATCATTACCCAGAATGCTTTGCGTGTAAATAAAATGGCTCAGTCCGTGTTAATTTTTTTACACAACAGCCTACATTATTTTTAGTCTTTATTTTACAGTTAAAATATATGTTTATCAAATAAAGTCTCACGTTACAACTAATCGGGGATCCCTTTAAAAATGCCAGTGATGCTAAAAGAAAAATTGTAACCATCTGTATCATTTCTGAGGTAGCGCCAAGGTGTAACTTGTGACTAAGTGCTATATATACATTTTTAATAGGCCAAACAGCAGAGGCTAAATTTGACAGCTTACATTTCTTTACTCTAAAAAAACTACTGACCTTTATGTTGCATTTATTTAATCTGTTTAGGATGTCAGGATTAGAGAGATAACTAAGATCTTTAATGTGTTTAATGTTTGCCATCTCTGCATAAAACCTCCCTGCTGGTGACTATTGTAATTCTCCTGAGCTTCATACAACTTTGTAATAAATTTTGATGCTGTTCCTTTTTTTTTTCTTTTTTTTTTTTTTTTGGGGGGGGGGGCACAACAGTTTAATTTCTGTAATGTATGTTGATTTAAACAAAGCTTATCAGTAAAACACAACTACAACAGTTTTGTCATAACTGGGTGGCTGTATCATTGAGAGGGCAGCATGACCCAACATCACATTGTGAACAGATAGGTTCTGCAAATGACAAATCTGTTCAACCAAATCAGGACACTGCCAAAGACCTACGGTGCTTTAAACTATTACTTTAACAGTGTGGTTCAGTATTGCTATGTTTAAATTTTCTGGTTAAAAAACAAATAATAATAATAATGGAAAAGAATTGTCATGTTGGTTGGATGGTTGCGATGGGTAACACAGCTCAATTTTGCTTTTACAGCTGCTCCTACTAAACAAGAATACAAAAGGATAAACTGAGCATCTTACCTCCATCTCCATGCGGCCCATCCCCATGACATCATATTTAAGGATAATGGGCACAGGATCGGTGCGTCCTGAAGGAAAAGAGACAGAGAAGACTGGTTGAGTTTTTGAGACTGGGACAAAGGACTAACTCGAAGACAGCCTGCTTTTAGAGCATAGGGTGCTGGGGTTAGAGAATTTTGCCTTGAAGTGCAAAGAGACCAGAAAGCTACAGTGAACCAAACACCAGCTATTCTCACAGCTTACTGCTGCAAACTACCGAAAAATGGCAAATATGACCAAGTTGTTGGTTTGCTGCAGCTTTGTTTTTAATTGTTGCTGTTTTAAATGAGGTAATCAGAACTACTTCTCAATATATCTGTGTAGAAAACACAACTGTAGCTAGCTTGTTTCCTTATTTTTTCAGCATGCCCAACCCACACCCCATACTCTTTTCATTTTTTGCTGAAATCTTGATAAACCAGAACAACAAGTTTATAAAGAATGCTGCAGCTTGAGAAACTAAGTGTGGTGTTTTTGAACTGCAACAAGCCTGCAAAGATGCTAACACTGCTACAGCCTCCACAACAAAACACTCCCAGTATTATCTGAAGCCTTTTTGCTAAACACTCTGCAGGCTGAATAAGAGTCACAAATAAATTTCACTGTTCTGTTCACCTGTCTCAAGACCTCTTCTTTAGCATGACGAGAGGTAAAAGATTATTTTTTTTTTTTGTCTGCTAAATATGTAAGCTGTGAGTTTGTAAGCTGTGAAAAGAGCTAGAGCAGAAGGAAATTAACTGTAGAAAAAAAAATAAACAAACCAGAAGACAACCAAAGGAGAAAAAAAAGAAAACATTAAAGATATTAAAAAATATATAATAATCAAAACTACTTTTGAGATTGACACAAAAAATTGCTTAATCCACTTATAATCAGCCAAACAAAGCATAGAGAAAGTAAATAATAAAAAAAGACACAAGCACTGAACTACAGCAGAGTGACGTCACAGGCCAGGTGTTGCCATGATGACAGTGCAAGGGATGGGGATACTTACCTGTGAAACATGGGTATGAGTAGGAGAAGGAAGGGGAGGACAGACAGACAGACAAATAGATAGATAGACAGGGGAATCTCAAAACAAAAAGCATAAAAATAATTTGGACTACTCTGCTGCTCCTGTTGCCAGCCAAATACAACGACCAATCTTACTGATAGTGATCATCAATTTAGTTTGGTTTCAGTTTTTTTTTCCCCTCCCACATACATGTTAGTTTGTTTTCCTTAAAGCTATGCCATTGGGCTTATGAGGAAACTTTAAACATTGGGTGTATTAATGTACAATTGGGTATAATACCTTTCTTATCACTTTGCTAGCATTTCCTCATTCTGCTACAGAGCACTTTAAACACATTTCAAACTTTAAATCAAAAGGCAGAATTTTGATTAAATAATATGTCCTTTTTTTTTAGAATGCTTTGCTTAAAACTTAAATTTATAAATATACCTTTCTGAATGGGAACGTATAGAAACTGTTACTTTRGTGGTTTCTTTATGAAATTTAGTCATCACAGCCCAATGACGTTTTTTTTTTATTATTCTGAAATCATTGATGCATGGGTATTATAACATGTAAAAGCCTGCCTGGACATTCAGTCCCACTGCAGTGTCTCTCAGCCAGAGGAAAAAAAAAACAAAAAAACGTTCAAACCCAACACCTAACTCTTTGCAATTTTTGATGATTTACTTAAATTAATAACTCTATTTGTGTGATACCGGGATCGCACGATTACTGGTAAATGTGTGGGTTCACACTCTTTCACAAACAGTGACAGAGAAGTGAAACCAAAAACAAAGTCTGGTCTGTTAGTCAGCCACTGCAGTGGTCTGTCTGAATGGAGTCACAAGCAAGGCAGGGAATTAAAGATTCATGAGAAATTACAGTCATCCCAAACTATCACCAATCTTTAAAACACAGTGACAATACTTCCACATTACCCATTCCAGTGGAAAACAAAGGGACCAGACCAAAAAAACAAAACAAAAAAAAAACAATGTGTAGCTAAATCACAAGGTGTGAATCACAAGGTTAAAAAAACTGAAAACAAACAAAATGACAATGTTCTAAGAGTAATACAGATGCATGATAATATACAAGCAGCAGAATGAGGACTAAGACGGAGAGAATTGAAAGCCTATGTAGCATTGGTGCTCTGATGAGAGAAAAATAAACAAAATGGGAAAAATTAAAACAAACAAAAATAAAATCAATTGGGGGATAAAATAACATTTACCACTAAGTTTACCATCAGCACAACATGGGCAGGATCAAATCGCTGTAAAAAAGAAACATCAATTGGTTAAGCAGGAAGATTGAGGCACATAGAGAAGGGAGGGTGGGGTTGGGAGTGTGATTGTGGGGTTTCGGTGTGTTGTTTACTGGAGGGGCCTCCATGTGTCACTCCCCACCCCCACCCACCTCATTCCTTCATTCAGGGCTAGGTGCTTACAGGGATTTCCTCTTGCCACTAACCCAAACCGCCTGTCCAAGTCCCTAGGCCCCTAAAGTGGTGTCATCATGCTTTATGAATAAAAAAATTTAATTCAAAATAAACGCAAACAACTATCCTATAAGCCTTTCCACTGCAGGACATCTGGGACCAGTATTGACGTCAACCCAACATGGTATAACAGAATTCTGGCAGCTAATATTTCTTAACCACTGGTAAACTGGACAGATTTATTATTTGCCAATCAAAAATAACTAGTAAGGTTGGTCATGGGTGTGAATAAATGAGAACTTTTTAGATTTCAAACAATAAATTWCAAAGAAAGCACATTTCGAACATGCATAAAATTCACCATCTTTAACCCACTACTGCTTTTATTTGATACATTTGTAAATTATAACTGTATAAGCGAAGGTTGCTAGTAAAATCTCATGAAGTCCATATAATTGAAAACTACTGTTTACTGATCATGAACTACCTGTAGTGGAAAGCAGCTAAAGCAGCAAACGGGACCTACTCTATGCATGTCTGTGATTTACCTCAGGTACAAAAAAATGTGAAAATGTACTTTTAGGGGAGAATCCTGAATAAATTAATATTTCAAAAAGGTCAAGTCAGGGAATTTACCTCTCTGACAAGCGATGGGTTGATTTTCAGTTCTTTTTCTAACCTACAGTAAAACATTTAATCTGATTTGATTACTTCTAGGGATGACCACCATTTTCCCCCTCTGAGCTTTGTGCATTGCAGATGCTTGTAAGCCCAGTCAGCAAATCTCCTTGAGATCTTAATTCCTCACTAGCCTACAGCCAGCAAGCTCAGTTTGTGATGTGCTAAACCCCGCAACAAATGAACACATGAAACATATAACGTACCTGAGAGAAGAGCCAGCTTTAAGCAGTGCTTAGAGTAGGTTTTGTGCAACAATAAGACAGCCACATTTAAGTGCAATTGGATGGAAAAATATATCAATCTAGTTGTAGAAATATGTTTTTTTTTTTTTAAGTATTTTACCTCCAGCACTGCTTAAAGCCCCAGGTGAGTGACAGCTTGAGGCAGGCAGGAGTGCACCTCTGGGGCAAACATGCTGTGCAGGAGGGGCAAAGAAACAGGGGGAGGATGGAAGCCTTGTAACCATGGGGACAGAGACACTCGGAGTGTAAAAGGCGGAGAGGTTTTCCCTGTAAGTTGACTCTAAGGCCCGGTTAAGCAGCAGACACGCGCACGCACATATCTCAGTCCCACATAATGGCCACATACACGCGCACACACACATAGGTTTCACAGTTTTAGAGGTAGAAACAGGTAAACAAGCAGAGGGGAGAAACTTGTCTACACTGCAAGCCATTCAAAGTCTTGAGCCGTGGTTACAGCCAATCAGATTACTCAACAGCAGCCACTGAAACTCAAAGAGGAAAAAATAAAAATCTATACGTAAAAATGATGATTCTAGAGGATGTGATGGAATCACGGCTTCCTAGATCTACCCTGATTTCACATAACCTTGATTCTTTGTACAAATCAAAGGACTTTGCTRTTAAGCAGATTCAAATAAAGATTTAGTGATTATGAAGCAAAGAGGAAGAAGCTGACAGAGGCCATTAGCCTACAATACACTGTAAAGGGATGTTACACTGAGGTCAACTGCAGAGTGGGAGAAAGAAAACACACCCACACATGCATACTGACATACAAAGGGGATCCAACAAACCTTACCTAAAAAAGGGGCAAAAAGGACAAAAGAAGAATAAGAACAAAGTCAATACAGTGAAAAACTTAAAGAGGGGACAATGCTGTAAGTTCAAATGTCAACAGCTGTCTCTTCTGGCAAAGACGATAGGAAAAGAGAGGAAAGGATAGCGTGATTATCGGTCAGACGTCAATGACATGATGGTGTGATTGTTGTGTGACCCCCCTCTAAGGTCTGCTTGCTAGTTTAAACAGAGACAGCCGTCTCCAATTCAGGGACTTGAATTCCGACAACAACTGGACACAATTTGCTGCAGTCTCATCTGCCCACAATGTAGGATGCTTACATAACTGCATGAATGGTGCCAGAGGCAAAAACAAGAGCACAGTCAGCCTCTGCAATGTGTTCTCTCCTCCACACAAAGCCCGTCCTTATCACATCAAATAGATTGCTATTCAGCTTTTCAAGGCCAGATGGAAATAAACATTGGTGGATGGTGAAGTTCTGAATTTCTGCTGTGTTGTCAGCTCGCCCAGAATGAAGCAGCTTCCAGTTCTGCTTAGTTCCCTGGCTATGGCTGGGCTGAAAATACCTTTGAGACAACACAAGAAGCCAATGCCATATATGTACATGAACAAAAGAAGGTAGAACCGCAACAGCACAGCTATACAACCACTCAACCAGGAACTTCAATTAAACGTGTTGTCTTTCTTGAAGAGCAAACAATCAAATAAGGTGCATTTGAACTATCAAATCAGATTATAAAAATCAAAGATTCCCACTGATGTTCATAAGACTTGCAATGCAAAATGAAAAAATAAACCTCCAGCACACAAATGAATATTAAATCTAAGTGTTACAATTTGCAGTCTTCATTTCAGCTGCTTGGTTATATTTGCAAACCTTGTATAGGTTCAAATAAAATGATAGTTTGGGTTTGTGCTGGAAATTGGCATTTTCAGAATGAGATGTGTTATAAATTAAACAGCTAATATTTAAAACAGATGTCAGATTTATAGACAGAGAACTGCACTTGAGCACAAGTGGCAATTTCACAAAAGATAGATGAACAGGTTAGAAATTGCTGAAATGGTTTGGCTACAAACAATAATGCAGGACATGGTGGAAAAGAAGGAAATCACTAAAGACCAGCAGAAATTCTTTAGAAATACAAGCTCCTTAACTCACTGCTAACACATACCAACACACCAGACATTTGCAGACAACAATAATATACAATATCATTGCTGAGAAGGGTTCATTGATGTGTCAGAATGAGAAAAATGTTTGGCTTGAAAGAAGATAGAGGACAATGGGACCAAGAAAGCCAATGAGGAGGGAAGGGAAACATGCCAGAGCTCTGCACCACTGCCTCTGAGCCTACGAGCACAGCAAGTTTAAGCAAATGAAGTGATAACGCCAGCCAAGACAAAACTATACATTGAGCCATGTTTAGCCTTCCAATACCATTACGGAGTCATTGTTGATTAACTGCAAAGAATGTCCCAGGGAAGTTTATTCTTTATCGTGGATTGAAGAAAACCCAACAACTCATAAAATCAATTGTACATGCAAAGCACTTATAGCATTACTCTGTGGCATCTCATTTCTGGCATGTGTTGCTGAGGCACCAGTAGGTAAATATAATATGCATGCCCATAAACATTTTAGGTTGTGAGTTACAAACATTAACACTGTGTTCATGCTTCAAGAAGTCTGCTGTAAARCGTGTGATTGCCCAAAGCAGACAGGAAATAAATGCCCAGGGTTCAACAGCAACAACTTTTAGCCCATTTCTATAACAAAGACACAAACCCAAACATGGAAACTAATCAAATGTGTTTCAAGCCAAAGGTCAACGATGTACAAGAGGTGAATTCCTGACTCTCTTGATCAAGTTTAAGTTCCCTTTAGCTGGATGTTAATTCAAGGAGAAAGACAGCTTTAGCTCAGTTTACTGTAAACTAAATGCAACAGAGGAACAACAATTAAGAACACCATCTCTCAACCTTCAGTTTCCTCTCTCAGTCTTACAAATCACTTTTACTCATTAACTTCAAAAAAGCAGCAGCATAAAAGCAACAAAAGCAACCTAAATTGTGTTTTCTTTCATTTTTAAATCATAAACCTGTTTTCGTACTAAAAAAAAAAGACAAAAGGAAATGTTCAGAAGAAGGGTGTGAAGAGAAATAAAAATCGGCAAGTACAGAATAAACAAATAAAACCTGAAAATGTCAGGGGTGGGAGAAAACCAAAAGATGCAATGGCGTATTACCACCATCATATATAATTCTGTTCAGATTGTATTCTTACCCTGCATGGTTTTGCCAAGTCCTTGCCCCGATTTCCAGCCATGTTTCTGAAGCAGCCGGTGCCCGATGTTATCCTAGCAGAGAGAACAGAGGAGAAAAAAACCAAAAATATTCCAATAATAAGAAGAGCTATACCCTGTGGGATTGAATGAGAAATATATATATATATATAAAACGAAAAACAATAACACTTAAATCACACTATCATCATAAGCACAACCACCACCACCATCACCTTTATCATTAATGTCATCACCTACAGTGTGTAACAGTCAGTGTCTTCCAGCACAAGGTATGTTAGGGCAGTTTGGGAGAAGTACTAAGACTGGGAGACTTGAGATGTAGGGAAGAATTTTTGCCATTTTAAATAAATACATTAAGGCTATATGTTACCTGTGAACTACAAGATATTCTGACATATGAGTGTGCAATTGAAAAAAAGAAAAAGGAGGTTTGGCAAGCAAAAAATGGGCATGAGCAATTCAATTATTCATGATTAAGATAACACATCAAGTTTCATCCACTAAGTGAGAAGTTAAAAGGAGGAAGGAGAGGGCGATATATGTATCACACGCATACATATATGATCCACTACTAAGTAAGGTCTTAGTACACAAAGAAATGTGACACAAAACAGGTATGGAAATCTAGCAATAACAAAATAAAGACCGAAACTCCAAGCTTGCTGTGATTCTGTAACCATGACTAAGGGAGCACTATGAAACATACAGCTGTCACAAAAGAAATCTAGCAAGAAGAAGAGACAGAAGTGGAGCTAATGGGCCTTGGATTACCATTACAAGACCCAGGATGGACAGACTATGCATGTGTGAAGGGATATGTAAGAGGGCAGGTGAAGAGAGGGACACAGTGTGCTTGTAGCGTCATTAAATTGACTAAAAATGACTGTTGTACATGTTTTTGGATACTTTCTGTATTTTTGTCTGTTAATGATTGTTAATTTCCAACTAAGTTCACAATTTTTGTTTAAATCGATGATGGTTTTATGCTGTTGTTACAACTTTAATACTTTCCTGAGTATATAGCCTTTTAAAGTTAGCATTTATGGCAATAAAAATGGCTTTGGCCATCTACATGTTTTCCTCATCTATCGATACCAATGATTGCCATAGAAAACACTGCAAGACCAATAATGTGGTCAAGCTCAGAAAGCCAATAAGAAGTAAATAAATTAGAAAGGCAAACAAAAACATATACAACAGCAATTGCTAGTACACTGTAGGGCCAAATGTGCAAGTTAAATATTGTAAATCGCTAGTATGAGTCAGCAAGACAAWAACATTTAAGTGAAATGCAAGACCATCCCACCACTACACACTACAGAACATCCTCAAGCACAAATAAACAGGAAACAATGAGATTTCTTTATAAGCAGCATTTTCTGTTGTGATTATAACTATTCCAAGCTTGTCTAACATTCACCAGAATGCTGCATTCTATCGAAAATCATACAAACCAAATAAAAAGGATATTTATAATCACAAAGAGACTGACATCGACTTTCACAAACAGAAAGTGAAGGGGTATGAATAAAACAAAACAAAAACAAAAGAAAACCAGCATGCAGCTTTTTGTTAAACTGTTTTAACAAAAAGGGTCGTCGGTGTTAGTAGAGCACTGTGAACACATTCAGAAGGGTGGGCTGAGGTGGGAGGGCAGGGGAACAAAACTCCAGCTGTGTTAGTCTCAGGTGGATCAGGCACAGTGAGGAAGGTGATGGCTCAACGGGGCTCAATCAGATCTCTTTGACAAGAGGTCAGAAAAAGCAGAACAGAGCAGGCTGAGCCATGATGAGGGTGTGTTCTCGGGTGGTGGAGGTGAGCTGGGCTTGTAATGGGTTAGAGCATGTGAAGGAAGGGGTCTCAAACACAGAGCAAACACTGCATCTCCACCCAYAAGTTGACAATTGGAGGGAAAAAAATGACTTCAGTTATAATTTTTAAATCATTTTTTTAGTTCAAACTGTTGCCTGCTTTTGCTCCATTTAATATATATTTTTTGGGGAAAGTCATCAACACTGTGAACACTTCCAATCACAATAACCAGAAAGACGTATACAAATTCTAATTATAGCTGGCTGATGCCTCCATATTCAAAAGTTCTTAAGGCCTTCATTTTCTGTTTCTCTTAAAACTTTGGTATTTTCTCCTTCTGTTTTGTCCATTTACGAGTCTTACTCTGATGTTTGGATTCTTTCCTCTGTGAGAAGAGAAAAAGGATGCATCTGTGCTGGCCCTCACACAGTAGACAGACGACTAGAAATAAGAAATCAGCTCATAAATTTGAAGACTGGACGTAAAACTGAGCTCATGACTTGGCGTGTGCTGCTTGGCAGTTTCCAGTATTTCCCCTGATGTCGGAGTGCACTGAAGTAATTACTGATACAACTGCTGCAATTGGATCTGCTTTTGTCCTTTAATACAACATTATGGCACAGCAACATTCTAGAAGTCTGCTTGAACAAAAGAGCAGATTAAAACACACAAAAATATCAGCTAAGGAAACCTGCCCAGCTCTTCTTTACATTCATTTTTCATTACCAACCCTGGATAAGTCCAGAGGCTCGAGTATTAGCATGTAAACATCTGAATGCCCAGCCCTATATAAAATGTGTTTCAGCTTGTTTATTTCATTAATATCATTTTAACTGAATTGATAAAAACAAGAAGAGCAGGTTGGATGAGACAACAGTTTGCAATTGTTGACAGTAAAGAGATTAGGTCAAAATGGGCTCAGCAAAGGCTTGGAGGCCAGAGATGAGGTGCAGACTGAGTGTTTGAATACAGATGAATGCACCAAAAGAAGAGACAGACAGACGGATGAAAGCAACGACGGCGAGTCCAACAGCAGTGCAAGTGGAGTGAAGGCATTTCCATACGAACCTGGCTTTAAAATACTGGGCTGTCAAAAAAACAGTCACACGTGACACAACGTAAGAAACCGGCCAAACGCTTTCAACTGTAATTCTGCTAGCTTCTCTAGTTCTTACAAATACAAATCTCTCTCTGCCTTTAAACAAACATAACACTGTATAAAAACAGGAAAGGCAGACATTTCAATAAATCCACCAACTGACTGTTAATACAGAAGAAAAAAAATGTTATCAAATCAAAAGACATCTACAAGGGATGTTTTTAAAGTGTGCATTGTGCTGTCATTAGCACATAGCATGGTAAAAAAATATATGGATAAAAAGTGATATGCAGGGGACTCCACCTAGAGACCTCAGAGAATTTAGTCTTGTTTCAGTCTGTATTCATTTTTATTGTGCATGTGCACAATTTGTGTATCCCTATTCGAAAATAAGAACATGCCTTGCCTCAGAGAATAATGGGGGCAATAATGTTAAGTTATAAGTCTGAGCAAACAAAAACATAATTTTATTTTTAGCCTAAGCAATAGATCGCACATTCTGCATGTTTTAAAATCTGAGACAAACTCTAAGGGGACTCTGTCTCAAAGAAAATGAGCTGCTGGTGGACAGGCTCTGTTGGCTGTTGCTCTTCATAAGTTTTAGCTGCTTCCTTGAGTTCAAGGCTTGGTTCTTTCCTGGTTGGTGTCAGATGTGACAGGTGAAACTAAACAGAAAKAACTGCTGAGGTCCACGGAGAGGCAAATGATTTAAACTAAAGTCCCATGTGCACAGTGAAGAAAGAACAAAAGGAGAATTGTCAAATTCAGGCTCAAGAAATAAATGACTATTATTTAAGTTTGTTTTATGTTAAAGAGAAAGGGGTCTTATTAAATACTTATTTTTTAAATTATTAAAAAGTAAGATACTTACCCCATATTCTGAAGCCACACATCAGAGTAGGAAATTAATCAAACTATAGTTGAATAATGTCAAATATCTTTTTATTCCCTCTTTTTAGTTTAGTTTATCATTGCTATAAAACAAATACACTTTGGGTATGGAATAGGTCTTAGCCAAGACCAAAACTCTTCTACCCACTGAATTAAACTGATGGTTTATTATCTGCAATATGTAATACAAATCAAAATTTTAACAGGGATATTTATGTAAAATAAAAGTTGTAAATAAAATCCTATATTTTAGAAAAAGCTAATTATAAGGTCAAATTCAGCCACGATAAGTACATTGGATGTTACCGTAAGTATATCTGGTTCAATAAACAACACAATTTTTTTTGGCTAGGAATTTAATTTACCAGTGGCCTACAGAGATGTGTTATTCAAATTTCCTGTGTGGTTTCTGTGGCTCTGAGGCTGCCCACTGCATATCGCTGTGGGACTGGGTCAAGTAAGGGGAGGAGGATGACAAATTTAAGGTACTGGGAGGGACAAGAGGCATGGAGGAATGAGTCTGGGAGAAAAACTGTTGTAATGATTAAGACAGAGGGTTGAAAGAACATTGTATTTAATGCTACTAAGGTAACACATGCAATGCAAAAACAGGGTCAAGAGAAAAACAGCAAAGACCAAAAGGAAGGACAAGAAGAGAAAAAGAGATCCCAATAAAATACCACAAACCTCTAGCTGCCTATTAATCACACACATTAAATGGCAAGGGAGGGGCTCTGAGAAGCTAGGCTGAAGCATTTAGAAACTCTCAAATGTAAAATTAGTGGACAAATATTCCCACTTTTGAGATTTTGCATTACAGAGATGAGACCAGACCCGCAATTGAAATAATTTACTATCAAATATTGATGTATTCCTGATTCCAGATCATTCCTAAATGTCTATGAGGCATGTGTTATTAAAATTGGTCTTTTCTTCTAATAATTTTTAAAATTGTGTGAGATATTTTTGTACTAGTTCTTATTCAGAAGCTACAAAACTCAATATCTTGAGTTTTGTAGCTTCCGAATAAGAATAAGAATAAGTAAGTATAAGTAAGAATCTCCATATATTCATACCTGCCCCCACTTCATCTCTTTAAAATTCATATTTTCTAAAGGAAAACATTTCAAGGGACTGAATATTAGTATCTACTCAACATTACCTCTGCCGCAGCAGTTTTGCCACAGATGTGTGAATAGCTGTGTGATGCTGCAGCACGGCCCTCAGCCCCCCTCCACAAATAATAGCACAGGAGTTAAAGAGCTGCTCAAGCCAGGCAAGCAGGCCACTTCTCCTTTTTTCCCCCCTTTTTTCTACCACCCACGCYAAGTGAATTTAAAATCTGTGTGTATATAAGAGTGCATATCATAATGAAATTTGATTTGAAGAGAAAACTATATATCCACAATTTACTGTTAGGTTTAAAGGCAATAAACACTCTTGTTGTTGCTTAAAAACTAAAAACTCAAGACAGGTGTGGCGAGACTTGTTTGTGGCCTACAGCATTTTTCAGTGAAATAATCCACAGTAAGTATTGCATTGCAATTTATGCTCACTAGCAAATACTGTGAATTAGAGCAAAGTACATAAGCTCATTAAAAAAGATGATTTGTGACCCATCACATCAAATTGAGAATTAAGTTGGATTTGGTCAAACTAAACTAAGCACATTTTCAGATTCCCAACTTTTAAAGATAGAATCATYAATGGTTCCAGATACTGTATGTGAATTGATTTGTCTTGCTAATCAGTGTGACCCCTGGAAAATTGATCTGAATCTGATTTTTGGCATATTCTAATGAGGATTTCTTGACTTCATCAACCATATTTGGCTGGTATTGAAAGTAGCTTTGATAATGTGTAGGGAAAGCAGCATAAGTATAAAACTTTTCTGTTCAAAATCATTGCTTTTCATTAGTAATGATCAGAAAAGTGTTTCAAAATGTTCTTCAGGGTAATATTTTGAATATTACCTTCAAGGGACCCAAAGAAAAGGTATTTAAGGTCAACTTATTTTTCCATCAATGATGCACTACAGCTCCCTATTTTCTTACTACCCTACTCAGTTCAGTATGATGGGTCATATTTTACAAGTACCGATTTAGAAAATAACTATGTTTTGCTAACCAATCTGGATTACTAAGTGCAATCAAAATAATATTCTTGTATGATGATCTTCAGGGCGGAGTTTTGGCCTGCCCACCACAATGCTTCAGAGACAAAAGTGGGGAGGAGAGAGAGTAATAAAGACAGAAAATGAGAGCCTCCTGCGCTATTATAGATGTGCCTCTTCAGCAAAAAATGCAGTCCCAGTTGCACAAGCACCATGCCAGCACAGAATGACAGAGGGTACTGTACACCGAATCACTGTGTAGTAGGGAGGGAGCAAGAGAGAAACACAGGTAGAGAAAGAGAGAACAGACAACAAGTGTGACAGTTGTGAAACAGAAAGAGGAAGGTAGAGAGAAAAAGACTGTCAGAGAAGCGTTACAAGGACCCTAAAGATAGGAGTAAGGAAGCAGAGCGTGCAAATACAAACCGGGCCATTGCTGCTTAGCTAATAGGGGGCCAATTCGCTGCAGGAGAGAAATGTCGAACACCCCAAGTTGTGTACAATAAGATAACTGTCCTATAGATATAAATACTGTACACTAACACAAATATTCTAAAGCTACATAAATACACACTCACTCAAACACAAATGTAACCATTCACATCATCTAATGTCCACCCTTTCGTCTGCTAAATGGCATGGAATAAGCACTGCCTGTTTTTGTTTAATTGACTAATTTTAGCTGATGTGTAACAATCCGATATATAACTTCAGCTATCTGGCTAATTAATTTGTATCTGATCGACAACAGATTAATTTGTTCTGAATTATGGTTTCATCTATGAAGATCAAGCTGAACATTCTGATTAAATCTTGTAAAAATAAATACAAATCAAAGAAGTTAAAAATGGTATAGCTCTGCCAATCAACCTCAACCAATAAAGCTTCATCTAGTACCCAGAAATAAATCTGCTCATTTAATTTTTTTTCACATGAAAAACGCTAGTGTTGAGCAGCTACAGTATTAAGATAACAGCTACTAATGACAGTGCTTCATCCACTCCATGATTACAAAATGATGTCATTGAACTAAGATGACTAACAATGACTAATGTAAGACTAAAAAAAATCCAACTATTATCAAAGGTCTATGTAAAACAGGAAAATCTAAGATACAAATTACTTTAAATGTCACTGAAATGGAGAAGGTAGAGGACATGGGAAGCGGGAGGACTTTAAAATGTATTAATGGACGTTGACAGGTGATTCTAAGGGTTAGGTGGCAAGTTTGTTTAAGATAATACTGGATGCGACTACACGGACAGTATGGAGTAAAAACGTAGCTCTTATTCCTCCCTGGACCAATCATATCCACTCTCACAGCTGGTCCAATGGCGCAGGATGATGAAGGCAACCTTACCGATTCGATGGGCTTGTCCAGGGACGCCTGCTCCAGCTCCAACTGACCTTCTTCATACTGGTCAAAGTGATTCCCACCCTGAGAAACAGACAAACAATTATTCTATAACATTATTTATTTGAATGAAAAGATAATTATCTTTCATAACACAAAATTAGGATTAACTAAGGGGGAGATTCTGAAGAACCTAAACACTGACACTGATTGGCCTACGGCAGCTCCTGTTTCCTTTGGGGGCAGCTGTGGGAGAGTGGTCATACTGTAACCAGTGGATTGCCAGTTCAATCCCCCGTTCCATCCATCTCAGTCGTTGTGTCCTTGGGCAAGACACTTTACTCARCCTGCCTACTGGTGATGGTCAGGGGGCCCAGTGGCGCCAAAGCATGACAGCCTTGCCTCACAGGATTGTGGCTACAATGTAACTTACCACCAAGCGTATGAGTAAATGGGTAAATGTCTGCAGTGTAAAGTAGAAATGCGCGATATAAACGATATACGGTAGAAACTATATAAATTTGTCCTATGATAGAGATCTGTAGTCTACCGGCCAACCGCGCAATTCTTTTTGATGATGTAACCGGCTGGAGTCAAAACAGAGGAAGCGGGAAGCAGCCTGGCTGAGAGCGCAAATGAGGAGGGGGAAAAAAACATAACTTATCTGGACCTGGTTCGGGTGTGTGAAAATGAACGCCGAACTGTTTACATGTTTACGTCACACTGCCTGCTGCGGGAGGAGCGCGCGCCGCGCCAWGTGTGAAGGGCTCGACACACGGGAGGCAACGTCGCTCACTATCCATTCATTTCCACGCAGCGAGGCGACTGTCTGTGCAGGTGAAGTCAGTGCTCAGGTGGGACGCACAAAAATCAGTCTGGACCTCGTTTCTCTTGCGGTCATAGCGCGACGACGCACGGCCGAATGCACGCGCACTCCACGCGCACTCCAAAGGGCGACTATAATGATTGTCACCCTGCCGGAGCGCGCACAGATTAAACAGGTGGAGTGCAGAAAAAATAATCTGCAAAGTGTGTAGAAAGGAATAAATACAAGCAATTTGTTTTACTACCTTAAAACAAAGCAGGTGATTCCAAACACAACATCCAATGGATGCAGATATCTATTACATTAAAGTTATTGTGTGATATGTATATATATATAATATATATACAGTGGTTTGCAAAAGTATTCATACCCCTTGAACTTTTCCATATTTTGTCACATTACAACCACAAACATAAATATATTTCACTGG